AAGAATAATAAAGTTAAGTAATAGCAATCTCATATTGGCCCCCCTCAAATGTATATCATATCTCCAATTTAAAGTTCAAGTCCAACAGCCAAGAGGCAGACATTTTTGTTGTTATCTATCCCAAATGTAAGAGATGTTATCTTTATTTGATACTTATATATCATGCATTGTGAATTATGGGTATGAAGTATGGGGTTATAGTCCTGCAACGCAGATTGAAAATATACATTTAGTATTTTTGAAAACCGTATTGGGTGTCAGGAAAACCGTAAATAATGCCATGGTGTATTTTGAACTTGGTCGTTACCCTTTGCATATACAGCGTAGGATTGCTATTGTAAAGTACTGGCTGCAAATATTTAAGACTAATAACTGTATCTTGAGGGCCTCTTACGATTAACTTTTAGAGCTTTATAACAGGAAACCAAATTGTAAAGCAAATTGGGTTTATCATCTGAGACGTGATTTGTGTACGTTGGGTTTTGGAGATGTGTGGTTAGCACAATGTGTACCAAATGAGATTTTTTTTTAATTATTTTATACAACGCATAAATGATAGTTTTATTCAGGAAATGAGAAATATATTCGAGACATCTTCAAAATGTTTGTTGTATAAACACATTGTTGACCGTTTTGATCTACAATGGTATTTTACAAAACCGCTATTCTTGGAGATGTCGAGGAGGAGTTTCATTCCATTCTTATGTGTCCTGTGATTTTAGAATTAAGAGTATCGTATACAAGCCATATTTTCGTTTTCGTCCTTCTGTGTTTAAATTAATAGAGCTACTGTCTAGCAAAACAACAACAACTTAATTTAAGAATTTAAGTAAGTACTTGATTCAGGCAACTGTTAAAAGAAGTCGTATATTTAATCTTATGATCTTATCAGCAGCACAAGGACTACAAAATGGATATATTTAATACTGAATATATATGATTAATATTTAAATAATTTTAACATTTATCATTACAAATCTGAAAAAACTTACATAATGTGTTATTTAATTAAATATGATAAAACACCACCTTAGATAGAAGGGTTAACCACAGGTAACAACACAGGTAAACACAGGTAAACACAGGAAAACACACAGGTAAATACTGCCATACTACTTAGAAACAGACTATAATCCTTCTAACAACATTATTCCCCCCATGCTATTTTAAAAAGTGGGGGAAACGAGAACAAGCCATTAGGGCAAGTTCGGTCCCGGGGTAAGTCCTGCCGGGGCAAATCGTGAAGTTGGAGGGAAAACCTGCGTCGCGTGCTTTATGACGTAATAATTATGCTGGTGCCAACGTGGGCCGAACTTACTCCAGACTACCTATCCGAACTTACTCCAGACTACCTGTCCGAGCTTACTCCAGACTACCTGTCCGAACTTACTCCAGACTACCTGTCCGAACTTACTCCAGACTACCTGTCTGAACTTACTCCAGACTACCTGTCCGAACTTACTCGTGACTACCTGTCCAAACTTACTCCAGACTACCTGTCCGAACTTACTCCAGACTACCTGTCCCAACTTGCCCTAATGCAAGTCATCCAATCTTCAGACAGAAAAGGTTGAAGAATAGTTCTTCAAATGTGGAACTTTTGTAATTATTTTATGAAAGGCATGGAATGTCTTTTCAAAACGGTGTATTTGCACCTTATTTTAACAAACGCCATACAGCCTACAACAACTTTAATAAAAGTTGACCGAACTTGCCCCAGCCTCCCCTTATTAGAATATGTGGTGTTTTTTTAGTATTTACTTTTGCCAAATGAAAAGTAAATTAATTCGAGATTTACAGACATTCTGATCGGAACTCCAAGTAGACGATGTGCCCTAGATTAAAGCATGAGGTGATGCTAAGTGTTGTAGGGGAGAGAGGCTGTGATCATTGTGTGTGTTTTTAATATATACAAACATAAGTAAATGAAGATCTTATTTTATCATATGAATACCGTGCTATGCAGTGTCATAAAGTCACCACATAGACGATGTTTATATAATTCCAAATTTCAATTTGTACTTTGTTACAGGTTCTGTTATTTAAGGATTAACCTTTCGCGTTTACGAACAATTTACCGACTGCTCCATTTGATTTATTATCTCATAAACTAAACAAAATAAAAGGTTAATCCTTATATTTACAATATTTTCTTTTAACAATAACACCATGAAAAGAGTCGGATGCAAGCAATTACCTTGTGTAATCTGCGTTCAAAATTATTTTGATATCATGTTAATTCATGCGAAACAGCCATTTGCAAAAGCCGTTGACAGACAGCTAAACCACGCCCACTTTCTCCGTGACAACAAAAGAAAAAAGTTCCTCCATTTCAATATTGTTATACACATAGAATATCCATATTTTATTACAATATCTTCATAATTGTATTAGTAAGTAACGGAATAAATAACTTCATATTTGTATGAAATTGAGGTATTGGGGCAAAATACTAAGTAGAAAATACTAATGACCGAATACGTCCATCGTTTGAAAATAATGCGCCCAAAGGCGGGAAATAGAGAGTGCTACCATGTCGTCGAGCGATAGTGACAAGACTAAGCCTAGTGAATGTGCAGTTATTAAAATTGCTGTTTGTAAGCATACCAGAGGTTTGAGATGACATGTATGATGTGGATAAATCGTTTGTCGGCCGAGTGACTGTTGGGAGACGAAATATTTGACCAACATTTTTAGGAACGATAGCCATCGTTTCTGTGTCATGGCAGCCGACATGGAGCGTTTTTGTACCGACGAACAATCGCGACTGTAGCTTCTGACACTAGCTGACAAAAGCATCTTTATTGTTGATACGTTTTGAGTTCTTTCATATAGGTACGGGTTCTCATGATCACAGACAACAACGACAAGCATGGACTACCATCTTAGCTGTTTATATCTCATATCGAGGTTTCACAGTCGGTAAATGTAATGTTAGGAATGATATAAACTAACGGAACACAATCATCAATAACATCCCCCTTATTTAGAAGAACATGACTGTCAGTATCAAAATGAAATGGACATACACAAATTATTAAACTGACATAGTGTAGCATACCAATGAATGACTCAAATTTTTAAGACTAGAATATTGAGTAATAAAATGCATTGCTTTTAACAAGCTTAAATGCAGTTTTTATTATATCTTTATCAACTGTCAATTTTCACCATAATGGAAATGTATGAACGATTTTTTACCAGTGTTCATGAACCTAAAATAAATCGGCACTAGAGCAAAATAGAATGTCACTTTTTACAGAGTACTGTATTGTCACTTGGCTACCTAGAAACTACTAACATAAATTTACAAACAATAAATATGAAAACCAGTAACGAACAAAGTCTTTCAAATGGCCAGGTTCTTTTCGTTGGCGCACTGGACGGTGTTCACGTCCAGCGATACTGGGCTGCCGGGTTAATTGTGTTTCCATATGTACTTTTGGAACAGTCTGTTCTGGGTCGCGCACAGGACACTGGGGAACTGACTGAATCTGCTCGTGGGCAGAACTCTCAACATATTGTTTACTTTCTAAATGAAACTCAGCTTGACCGGAGTTAGCTGGTGTCTGTAGTGATACTTTGTTTTCCAAACGTACAGGTGACTGACCGCGGATGACGGTTTCCACACGAGTGGGTCTGATATGAACCCGATTTCTTCTGTACGTAGCACTATTTTGTGCTTGCACTGTGTATGTGTACTCGCCAATGGCGTCTAGTACTTTTCCCAGTTTCCACCTCTCTTCCGGTTTGTGTTCGAAATACACATTTTGGTCACGCTTTAATCTCGGCAAATCTCGAGCTGTTTTGTCTTAATACTTCTTGACCGATTTCTTCCGCTTTTCCCGTTTTTCAATTTTCATTCCTGTCTCCTGGTTCCATGCTGGAAGCAATGTGCGCGTTTGACGTCCAAACATAAGTTGGTTAGGGCTCAGTCCAGTGTCCTGTCGAGGAACATTCCGCAGCTCCATCAAAGCCTCGAATTGGTCCTGTCTGTTCCGCTCACATTTTATCATTAAGTTTTAATCACCTTCACCGCAGATTCTGCTTTACCATTTGCTCGCTGGTGGTGAGGTGAGGAGGTCTGGTGAAAAATACACCACTTTGAAGTAAATGCCTAGAATTCACTTGAGGTGAACTGGGGGCCACCATCTGATACTATGGTCCTCGGGATGCCAAATCTCGCAAATTGTTTCTAGAGGATACCAATGACCACAGTTGAAGTAGTTTTCTGTAAGAGGTCAACCTCAATGAAGTTACTATAATAGTCAATGCTGACCAAGTAGCGCTTGTCCTTTATTTCAAACAAGTCCGCTCACTGACATGATACGATCACGGTTTTCAGATGGGTCAGCGACCGTTGCTCTGCTCAAAGTATCGGCAATGACAAGTTTGTTACCTTTAAGGAATCTAAACTCAATATCGTACCTTAAGAGTTTAAACATGATATCCTGCAACCGACGGGGAGCACTGCTGATAGGTTTCCTCAAAATGTACTCTAGAGGTTTGTGATCATTTTGTACTATGATCTTGTGTCCATAGGTGTGTTGGTCAAATCTTTCTACACCGTATAGTACAGCCAGAGCGTCCTTTTCAATCTGTGCCCATTTGCGTTGCGAGGGATTAAGAGACCGATACGCATATTTAATGGGTTTCCCATCTTGGAGTAGAACAGCACCGAGTCCATCTTTGCTACTATCAACCTGCAACCATATTTCCTTCCCAGGGTCAAAATATGAAAGTACTGGGGCGCTTGTGAGCTTCTGTTTCAGCTCTCGGAATGCATCTTCACAGGCTGATGACCAGTTAAAATCAGTGTCCTTGCGAGTCAGAGCTCTCATTGGTTCTAACATTGTTGACAGTCAAGTTAAGAACCTCACCATGTATTGAATCATACCGTGTCCTGCAATGATGACGTCATCAGCAATGGTGAATGTTCCATCAAGTCCTTCAATAGCCTCGTTTAACTTGCGTTGGAAAATGTCACTGGATACATTTAATCAAAATGGTAGGCGTGCCCATCGATAGCGACCAAAAGGTGTGATCATAGTGGTTAGTTCACTAGACAGTTCGTCTAAACGGACATGCCAGAATGCCTCTTTAACATCCAATTTGCTGAATACACGTGCATTTTGTAGCTTAGGTAATACATCATCCAGTGTTGGGAAGGCACAACCTTCTCGCAGCATGGCAGAGTTGAAACCTTGAGGGTCTAGACATATTCGTAATTTGCCATTAGGTTTGTGTACTACAGCCATCTGGCTGACCCTGGCTGTGGGTTTTGTCACTGGTATCAGAATACCTCTCTCAACAAGGTTGTCAAAATCAAATTTTACACGATCCTTAAGAGCGATGGGTATTTTCCTACAGGGCAGGAATCTGGGTTTGACCTCGGGGTTAAAAGTTGGAGTAACTTCACCCAAATCTCCTGGTTGACTTGTAGTTTCAATCTTCCAAATGAACTTTTCTTGATTCACAGTCACAAATCCAAGCTTTCTAATTGTTTGAAGTCCTAGGAGGCACTGTAGCTTGTTAGGGACCACAATACAGCTTACATTATGCTGTTCTCCACTCTTAGGATTCAGTACGTTAAGCGTTGCTTCACCTTCAGGGCATAGAGTACTGTCATTAAACATGCGAATCTTTGTCGTGCATACACGTACCTGTTCACGCCGAACATACCGTTTGCATATGGTGTTTGCATCTGCAGCACTGTCTAGTTGAAAACGCACATCACAGTCATTCACCTGCATTCGAGCAGTGATCCTCTCTTTTTTATCAGCATTTCTTACTGCATTTAACCAGCAGTCATCAGAGTCAGATTCAGAGTGACCTCCCCCTTCTGCACCCAGAAGGTGTATCGTCTTGCACTTAATGATTTCGTCCGCCACACTTTCCACAAGTTTTGCCCCAGGCAGGACATTCCTCTTTTTTCATGACATGTGATTTTCCACAGTATTTACATGATTTCACATTTTGATTATCCTTTTTTACAAACTTCTTTTGAGCCTGTGCCTCGTTTTGTTTTTCTTGGTCTGATTTCACTCTGTTAACCTTTGTGTGCACGTGGTTGTTCGAATGCAAGTTAGTCTTCATTTCCTGTGCCTGGTTATTGGCCTGCTCATAGGATTGACATATTTTGATTGTCTTGCGTAAATCCAGGTTGTCATCTCGAAGTAGCAGCTGTTGCATTTTCCCAGTAGTTGTGATCTAAGCTCTGTTAGGAATTGGTCAAATGGGTCGAAATAATTCATAGACCAAAATTTATGACTTTCCGCAAATTCGTTTTGACGAGGATTACAATATTGTTAGATTTTCTCAAACACATCTTTAGGATCATTTTTATCCTTGCCAGTCCAATCAAAATGATCGTACACTTTAAGAAGGGTCTCCCCACCACAGTTTATGATCGTCGCGGTTTGTATCCCCTTGTCCAACATTTGGATTCCGCTAGCTATTAGATAAATCTCAATACTGCGTTTCCATACGTTGTAATTCTCACTGACATTACCGGTTGTCAGATTAAGTTCTGTGGGTAAACTCAGATTAGAGTTTATGTGTTGGATAACTGACTCACCCATCGCGGATATATAGTCGAAACCACGTGGTGCGCTCACAGCGTTCCCAAAAAACACATCAGAGTGATTTTTCTTAGTGAGTGTCGACTTTAACAGTTATAAAGTCATTAGGCCCGATTCCTACCTCTCTCGCCGCTGCCACCATGTTGATAACGTTTCAAGTTCTTACAGATAGGTACGGGTTCTCATGATCACAGACAACAACACATGCATGGACTTCCATCTTAGCTGTATATAACTCATAACGAGGTTTCACAGTCGGTAAATGTAATGTTAGGAATGATATAAACTAACGGAACGCAATCATCAACATTTATCAAAAGAAAAATAATAAACACACCAACAAAAATATAATTTAATGTTTTTACTTTGGTGTCTCGAACGCACGGTAGTCAAAATGCTAGCGTATGTTTGTAAACATTGACACGAGGTTTGCGGTAAGAAGTCTGTCAATATTTACAAATATGCATACGCGGTAAGCTGGGTCACATTCTACAATCGAGTTATTGAGAAATAAACAGACTTGCCCACACTTGGGTTATCGATTCAAAAACAGTGGCAATTGTAAATATTCGCTAATAATAGCATATGTGACACAAAAAACAGATGTTCTTATTAGTATTAGTATGAACGTCCAAGGGACTACATTTAAAATTTTCCGAATCCCCATTTTCAGTATTGTCGTTCGAGTGGTCTTAAATAATACTTTTGTAAATAACGTTAAATGATACATCGTTTTGAAATGTAACTTGTCGTTTTCATTGAACGGCGTCATTTTCTGACCAGTTGATTGACTGAGTGGTTTTACGTCTACACCAGACGATTGTGACCAGTTTCTGTGCCGGACTCATTATATTACAAATATATATACTGTTTTACCGTTTCGGTCCAAAATACGGAAATGTTAGGGTAAAAAAACGTTTACAAAATTATTTCAACGTTTGTGTCTACTATATTTTAAATGTATGGCACATTTTAAATATGATCAAATTACTTAGACTTTACAATTACCAAATAGACTATACTGCGACTTTCTTATGTGAGGTCGACGAATGAACAACATATTACTGACAAACAGTTACACGTTTAATTTTATGTAACGTTCACATGCTGTGCTACATTTTGTTAATATCGAGAATATAATTGAATTTTGAGATTAAAAATAAATCCCTTTCTTACTTTCTTCATCTAATATACATAAGTTACGATATCTTGGTGCAATAATGAAAGTCATCTCGACCTTCTCTCTAAGCCTACTAAGGGGTGAAATTTGTGAACAGGTAAATAACACTAAAAACACCTGTGTCCAATGCTGAGAGCAGGAGGCCAAAGACACACCTTTTTACATGTGTATGACATCAAAGGGATGTCAGCAGATTTGCTAGGGGGTACCTGACTTCATTTCAGTTTAGTTTCTTTAGTTACCTACAGATTTATACTGCTTAGAGAGTACCACAATCCTACAGCCTTATAATGCTTACAGATTACCACTATCCTACAGATTTATACTGCTTAGAGATTACCATTATCCTACAGCCTTATAATGGTTACAGATTACCACTATCCTACTGCTTTATACTGCTTAGAGTTTACATTTTACTGCTTAGATATAACCAGTATCCTACAGCCTTATAATGCTTAGATATTACCAGTATCCTACAGCTGTATACTGCTTAGAGATTACCACTATCATACAGCTGTATACTGCTTAGAGATTACCACTATCATACAGCCTTATAATGCTTACAGATTACCACTATCCTACTGCTTTATACTGCTTAGAGTTAACCTTTTACTGCTTAGATATAACCACTATCCTACAGCCTTATAATGCTTACAGATTACCACTATCCTACTGCTTTATACTGCTTAGAGTTAACCTTTTACTGCTTAGATATAACCACTATCCTACAGCTTTATACTGCCTAGAGTTTACCAGTATCCTACAGCCTTATAATGCTTAGATATAACCACTATCCTACAGCTTTGTAATGCTTAGAGATTACCACTACCCTGCAGCTTTATAATGCTTAGAGATTACCACTACCCTACAGCTTTATTATACTTAGAGAGTACCACTATCCTACAGCTTTGTAATGCTTACAGATTACCACTACCATACAGCTCTATACTGCTTAGAGTTTACCATTATCCTACAGCTTTATACTGCTTAGATTTAACCACTATCCTACAGCTTTATACTGCTTAAAGATTACCACTATCCACAGCTTTATACTGCTTAGAGATTACCACAACCCTACAGCTTTATACTTAGAGATTACCACTACCCTGCAGCTTTATTATACTTAGAGATTACCACTACCCTACAGCTTTATTATACTTAGAGATTACCACTACCCTACAGCTTTATAATAT